ATTCAACTCGGCTGTCGCCTCGTTGAATGGAACATTCCATCTTTCACCTCATGAAAATATTCTTACCATTGCACTCATAAACATTCATTATTTGTAGGATTTCGGCGCAGTATGCCCACGGTTCGTGGCTATAACTATAAGGTATCCTGGATTTCGGCATATCTTATAGCCACGGTTTGTCGTCCCCCCCCCCCCTCCCCCATCGGGGTGAGATAGTTATAGGTGTCTCTGGTTAGGAGGGGTAAAGAGGGGGGTGGGGTGAGGGTTAGGTTATCGGCAATGTGTCTGTATGATGATATACATCAGATTCAAGGATGACCATATGATGATATAGAATAAGAGAATGTGTTGCATATACATACCTAAATCCGGTATGCTTATCAGCATGTATGTATGGTCTATGGTATGTATATATGTCGGATTTCGGCCAGTGGCGTAACGTTATATCAAGGGGCCCCCGGTTCAAAATTTTCGAAGGCCCCCCTAGTAGAAGTGCCAAAGGCACGAGTCGAGCGCCGTATATGCACGAGTTTTCTAGGGGGTCCAGGGCATGGTCATCCAGAAAATTTTTGAATCTAGACTCTCTGAAATGCCATTTCCTGGACTTTGGGGAGAGATTTTACAGAATTCTGATGGTCATAAAACGACATTGTAACATATCAGAGGCCCTGGCCAATGTTTTTGCCCTATCGCCTAAGCCTGCATGGGGGCCCCATTTGGGTTGGGCCCCCCGGGTTCACCCGGTCTGAGCCCATAGTAGTTACGCCACTGATTTCGGCATACCATGCAATTACCATTCATGTAAGGAACTTGTGAATACTAAAAATTACATATACTAAAAAATGGACCTAGAATTGAAAATTTAATCTCAAATTTGCAGAAACCAATCTTTTTCTAAGTTAGAAACTAAAAAAATAAACGAGTGACCACAACATTACACAGAATTACCACCATTTTGATTTTTCGACATTTTCTAGTACTATTTTCAATTTTCCCGCCAATTATTCGCGGGCGCCATTTTTGAAATTTAAAAACAAAATTACAAAAGAGTCAAGTGTCGACCACAAAAATGGCAACAAATTGTATTTTGCAAGACTTGTATGCACAAATTTTACAATCTGAAGAGCAAGTTAAAGAAAGAAATGCTAAATTTAAAGCAGGTTTGTATGCGAAAAAGTTTAATTGAGCATTTGACGAGTACACGACACATTTAATAAAAATTGTCCGAATTCATATTCTTTTTGCAGTGAACGAGGAAATTGCCTTGACGCAAGCCAAAACAGCAGAAATAAGAGACGAATTAAAATCGCTTCAAGGAAATCTTGCCATTCAAAATAACAAAGTAGCCGAGCAGGAATTGCAATTGAAATGGCTGAAGGAGAAAGAAAAAATAATGAACTCTCAAAAAAAGCATTTGGAAGACACGAAAATGGAATCACAAAATACGTTTGTGCGTTATATTTTTTCTCCTGGGAACGGACTTTACTTTGGGGGCACGTTTTCCACATTTACAATAAAATATTAAATCTTACAGGTTTTGTATATTAAATTTTAGAATAATGTGCAGGATGATAGGCAACGTGAAAGGTATATTGTGCATGTGGAATTATATATATGTTTCAATGATTACTGGCTTTCAATATATGAGCATGAGGATGCTACATATCAAAATTTTAACAACTCTCGTCTGACTGGGGCTTTATTTCTTATATCATCCCGAAAAAAGAGGGCAAATGACAGGTTCCTGCCTTGTTATTGAACATCTTATTGTTTTATTTAAGAGAGAAATTTGTTGGAGAATGTGAAGAGTTTTCGTCCATGTTTGACTTGACTGGGGATGGAACAAGTAAAAGAGAAACTGCAAAAAGAGCGAAACTTGAGGAATTAATAAAAAACACAGAAAAATTAAAATCAGGTGATTGAATTCAGAGAAGTCTATGGCTACCGCCTAGTTATAATATAGCTTTTACTGTAAAGTACTTGAAATTTTTATCCATTTTAAAATTTAGTTCGTTTTGAAATGGTATCTCGCTTTTCTGATTAGTTGTTTTCGTAATTCAGTGAAGATAGGACATTCGTCTGACGGTCACAATGGCGAAAGAGGTGTCTGTATTAGAGAAGTGGCCGTATTAGAGAGATATTCGTATAAGAGAGGTGTGTGTATTAGAGAGGTGTTCGCAAAAAGAAGGTCTTATTTATTATGGTAATTCTTTCAGAAATTGATGCGATCCAAAACGAAAGGGCTGAAGTTAGTGTTTTGGAAAACAAGAAACAACAGTTGCTTAATGGAATTAAGGAATTAGAAAAGAAGCATAAAGGCAAGATACAAACCATTTTCACTCTTCTTCATTAATACAATAAATCAATAATTAATTGTGTGTGATAATGTCGTGTGATCGTAGTTGTGAAGCACAACCACATGTACTGTTCTCGTATTTTAACTATTTTTCCTATACTTACCATTTGAGGTAATTTTTGTATTATTTGGTATCAATTAGAGGCTGATAGAACCATTCAAGGAGAAAAAGATGAGACAGAGAGATTAAGACAAGAAAAGCAGAAGCTCTCAGAAAAACTTAGAAACGATCCAGAATTACAAAGGTAGCCTTGTAAAGATAATTGATACAACAGCATAGTAAACATGGCATAGACATAGTATACTTGAACTCAAAGACTTCGTATTTCCGGTAGTAGTCGATTTTCCCTTGGGCAGTACTCAGTAGGTTACGTACATATAGGGACGGAAGTAATTAGTATGCCCACAATGACGTCATGCTTGGGGAACATAGAGTGGCGGAAGTGACGTCATCTTTGGGGGTCGGAAGGGACATAATTTGTGCCTCTATAGTGTCAAACGGCGTTGCATAAAACTTGGAAAGTACCAATGCGGTTTGGTGCGATGGCCGATATGTAATGAGTACGTCCGGTCGAAAAATCACCTCTGTTACACGCACTGACCGTGAAGAAAAGAAACACGATCGAAAACGAAGACGCAAATTTGTAATGTTCGTTAATTAATGTCTAATGAAGCCAATGACCTGAAAGTGGGTACAATTTTCGATTTCGAATGTCGTCAAGAAAACGGTAACCACGAGCCAAAACTGTGCGTGATACAGAACGAAGCCAGTGACGAGGTGGGAGATAATACGAGAAACGAGTTTTGCGAATGGTCACAAAGCGGGAACATGAGGTTGTATCGTAATGGCCCATAACTTCCAAAGCAGTTACTTTTGTGATGCAGCGAATTTTTGAAATTGCCAATATAAATATAGAGAGAGAGGGTATTACACGGCGGCGCAAAGATATGACTTTTATCTTCGAGTCGGGTGAAAACAATATGGAAAATATTTCACTGTGTATTTTTCAGTATCTCACTCTTTACTATATACCAATTTCATCGTGGCATTTTTAATTTATATTCAATACAGAAGTATGTACGTATAAGTAAGTAAGGACTGCGATAGTCATCATTACTCGCAGCTGAGAAAGCTGAATTGCGGAGGACACAGCTCAACGTACTCAAGTGGAAGGCTTTCTAAGAGCGCCTATGGCAGCCACCTTATGACTCATGTCTGATCACGGCGAAGGGGTTAGTTAGGTGACAACCCCTGTTGGTATCCCAACCTCACCCTGTCAACATTTCCTGTTGGAGGAAACTGGATTACTCGGAGAAAACCCACGACTTTCGGCGTGCCCCCACGTGTTCTGCTTGTTGTAGTTTGAATGCAACTATATAGAGGCAATGCAGAGAAGAGAACTAGTATTGAACAGTGTCAACGTACTATTTAAAGCACGCGTAGGAGTGTTTTATCAGATATAAATTTATATCTGATAAAACACGACTACAAGTGCTTTAAATGGCTTAAAAACGACTAATCTTATATGAGTTCATTGGCGAAGTAATTTTTAAAATAAACTTTGTCTAAACCGAGAAAATCAAGCTAAAGTTTATGTAAATTAACATGATTTTTTATCACATATAAAGATACGACACGCTTATAATTTTTCTTTGTGTTTTCCTCCTGAATTATTAATGAGTTTTTTAAGGATCAATGTTATATTCTGCTTTAATAAAGTATACAAATTGATGGATCTGATAACAATTGGAACAATGTAGCGGCTACATACAACTACGAATTATTACACTGAAAATACAATCACATTATATTGGAGAATCTAAAGTTTATTTATATAGCTGTTTCTCCAAAACAATTTAAAAGATGAATTGGCAGCCTTATATGGAGGTTGCTTAGGTAAGGTTTGTTTGTTGAAATCATATATTACATATTATATAAATGGATAGTCCTTAGTTTTATTTAAAGATGTATAAACGCTACTACATGCACTACATATACAGAAGGATATACTATAGTCTATAAATATACATATTAAAGATAATAGGAAGCAGCGAAAGTTAATAAATTCGGCTGGTCCTTTAGCCCTGGGCAAACTAGGAAACATTGTTGCGGAAACATTGTTGCCTACCAATGTTTCGCCATGTTTCCGAGAGTGGGCAATGAACATGAACCTTTAGACGCACAATTCAGCACCAGGTGCTTTAACACCTGCCCAGTTAAAACTGTTGATAACTACAGTACCAATAGCCATGAAGAAAAGCAAACACACATCGCATATTCCGCATCCTCCAGAGCACAGCTCGTCGCAGCAAGTTTTCTCTTCATCCGCACTACAGTAACCTGACTTCTTACAACACTTTACCATAGGACCTAGCAGGGGAGCTGTAATACCCAAAATGCCGGACGTAATACCCCAACCATCCGCCATTTTATTGTTAGCAGACGTTTTGAGATTCCAGCGAAGACCAGCTAATGGCAACTCTTCGAGCACACATACGACAATAGACAGAATTACTGGATGCATGATCGGTTGCTCACGCACAGTTAGCACTGAATTTGCCGCTTCAAAAACGACTAGTATTGTTCCAAAAATGACAAACACGAACATGGCGGTGAGTGCCATTTGTGTACTATCGCGAATTTCCGTCTCCCTTGTTTTTTTACAGATATTTTCAATCTTAAATGACAAGATATAAAGTAAAATTACATAAAGAACAACTAATTATTTCGTAAATTATTATTTTCTATATTCAGAACGGATTCATAAAAGATAGGGTTACAATTGTTTATACTGATGGTTAATAATTTGAAATACAAAGGAATGTTACAAGGTGATGACACAACGTTGTAACAATGTTATATCATGACTGTATCGGACTTGTTGGAACAACCTTGCAACAAGTCTGATAATATCAACAAGCTTGTTACAAGTTGTTAACAGTTTGTTCCAAAGTTGTTGACAACTTGGGACAAGCAGTGCAAAGACAACTTGTTGACGGCTTGTTGGCAGACTTGCTACAAGATGTGAGATTTTTGCGTGTGTAGTACAGCCAGAGGACTTTAAAGTTGCAGAATTTTTGTCAACTTTTCGTGGTTTTGATTTCGACATGTGTATGATTTCCACTCGAAATTATTACCTACAATTGACCCGTGCCACAAAATCTTATTGCATGAAAAATAGTCTAGTATAGAATGACTCCGTACCTGCTCATTTCTCTCAAAATAAAGCTGCCAGTCGCTAACGCAATCAAAAATACCATATGCCGTAATTACAAGCAAAATAGTGATTCGACAACGACGCATCTACGAATAGCAAACAGAGGTAATTATCAGTAAAAGATGTTTAAAATTAAAGAGTACGCCTTAAGAAGTTTTGGCCTCGGGATATAATAAACATCGTTTAATGCATATAATAAAAGCATGTATGAGTGTCTCGGTCGTTTCTTTAGTAAGGTAGTTCTAATGCGTCTTATATTATGTTTGTGATGTTAGTCTGAGTGTGCATCCACACCGGACAAGCTGAAAAGTTTGCTTGGCCACGGTGGGTTAGGGTTGGGTAAGGGTTAGAGTTGGGTTAGGGTTGGCCACCGTGGCCAAGCAAACTTTTCAGCTTGTCCGGTGTGGATGTACACACAGAGTAACATCATGCACAAATATCATATTCACCTGACTACACATAACACCAACAACACAAAAAAGCGTCTTATATTATATAGAAATTTATCCAGAAGAGCATGTCTTCGAAATGTGGCCAGGGTGCTCATGGTGAGATTAGAATCAAACCCATACTCCTAAATTCTTAGCAACAGATTGGAGGGCAATGTCCATATATAGCACCAACCGTGATATGGCTGAGATTGACCTTAGCAAGATGCTGTCTAGTATACCAATAACGAGAAATTCAGCCTTATCAGCATTCATCAGTCAATTTGTCTTCAGACATCCACATCCTAATGTCTTTGATACAACGTTCCATGGCAATGACCGCATCTGACCACGTTCTTCGGTTGGACTAAATGCAATATACAATTATATGTCATCTGCATAGCAATGTGATATTGGTAAGTGTTTCTCAATGACGTCAAATAGTTTGCTGGCATGAATTGTGAACAATAAAGGTCCCAGGCAAGAACCTTGAGGAACACCATGAAGCACATCGAACTTCTCGGAAACTGTTCCGCGAATCACTGTGCGCCGAGATCTCTGAGATAAATAAGAGCGGAACCAACTAGAAGCACCTCCAGTAAAACCAAATTTAGATGATAAACGCCCTAGCGAATACGATGATCAACCATATCGAACGCCGCACTCATATCCAATAGTACAAGGAGCGAGACGTGTTGCTCATTCATGTTCATATCAAAAGGTCATTCTTCATTTTCAGCAGAGCAGTCTCAGTACTATGATTCCTTCGATATGATGACTGGGCAAATGGATACAGGTCGTTATTTACCATATGAACATGTGTCTGTTCGAATACAGCTCTTTCAACGAGCTTAGATTTGCTCACGGGCCTAAAATTCATGAAGGTAGCATCTAGACCAATTTTCTTCAAAAGTGGATGAACAAGTGCTTCTTTCTAGCCAAGGGGAAAGCAACCAGATTGAAGTTAGAGATTGATAATTCTTGTATAGTAATACATCGCATTGAGCAACTAACTTGGATGGCACTGGATCAAAGTGGCGCCCGTCTTTAATTAACGAAGAACGGCTAATTAATACCTTAGCATCAGATTCAGACAGGGAAGTGAACTCTGAGAACTGCGAGACAATTGCTTCGGTCACAGGAGAAGCAATTTGCGGGTTGGGATCTTTTGTTCAAAATATTTGCCCATGTTACTGACAAAAGCCTTACAATCCAAATTAGGAGGAAGGCCATCATCACGTCATGTTGACCAAAAAGCGCTTACATGTTTTAAATTAACTGACAGTTTTCTCTGGTCACCCTTGTTCTCTTCAACGATGTTTCGTTCAGTAAAGAGTTCCTATAATACTCCGTACGGACTGTAGCAATTAATCGATTTACCGCATTTCGTTTCACTTTAAAGATAGCAAAATCACTCTCCAACTTAGATAATCGCCACTTTCTCTCTGTTTTTTGCCTTCCTCGCTTTGCCTTTCTGAGTTGCTCGTTAAACCAAGGTACCCGTGGTCGTTTTACTATGATCTTAGTTTTAGATGGTACGTGTTTGTCCAAAACAGCCTTTAGAGTAGTGTCATGGCAAGCGACCAAATCTTCTACATCGCTTGGTGGTTTGTGCATAGGTCCGATGCAGTAATTCATAATTAAAAGATGAAAAATCCACCGATTTCCATTTTCTATAAGTGACGCTTTCAACTGTTAATCTGGCTTATCTGAATGAATCATGCGTAAGACCGAAGCATGGTCAGATATATATCGACCTATACGAGGGGGCGTTTTAATTATCCTATCTGTTTGACGGGTTATGATCAGGTCAAGAGTATGTCCATGGATATGGTTTGGGCCTGACACATGAGCCTGACAAAATCAAAGAATTTAATCGCTTCCGAATCGTCCAGAATATCAGTATGAATATTAAAGTCACCAACGATTACAGTTGATTTCACGAAACTTTGGCCACGCCAGTTGCGAGATTGGTTGGGAATTTGGGAACTATAAACACGAGATCATCAAGTTGATTGGAAACCGGCCAATCAAATTCAAACTGAGTTTCGCATCAAATGATCGAAATTCGTTATGAAATTCCCAACCAAGTTCGCAAGCAAGTTCGCAAATTGCAAACGATTTTGACGGTAAATTTTAAAAACTAAACTTATTGTATTAAACTTATTGTAATTTTAAACCTGAAATTATTATTATTATGATATTATTTATTATTAAATGAATAAGTTTAATACAATAAGTTTAGCTTTTAAAATTTACCGTCAAAATCATTTGCAATTTGCGAACTTGCTTGCGAACTTGGTTCGGAATTTCATAACGAATTTCGATAATTTGATGCGAAACTTCCGAATTTGATTGGCCGGTTTCCAATCAACTTGATGATCTCGTGTTTATAGTTCCCAAATTCCCAACCAATCTCGCAACTGGCGTCGCCAAAGGTTCGTGAAATCAACTGTAACAGTTGCTCGTTGGTCATAACTATTGGTTCAGGAAAATCAGCAAATTCATGAAAGAATACATTTGTGAACACTTTGTGATTTTCAGGATGAGTACGTGGCCGATAAATAATCACTACACGAAGTTTGGGCGCTGATTGCGACAATACGCACCAGTCAGAGTATTCAAAAGACTCCGTTTCACCTGCACTAATCTTGACAGAAGAAAAACGTCTCTAAACAAAAGTGGAGTGCCACGCCCGCACCGACCAGTGCGTGGCTGATCTTAAAGGGTATGGGCAACACAATTGATTTTATTGCTTTATCTGAAAGAGCATGAAAAAATAAGCCGATTGGCCGTTTACTGCTCTATTCTATCTCATCTAGTTCCGAAGTTATACGCAAAAATGTGCAAAATATAAATTGCTGATTCAGCACATTCTGTGACGTCATAAGCTGGGTAAGTATGTTTATTAAATAGTAAACTAAAGCATAGCTGAGATATTATTGGCTCAAATCAAATGAAATTTTGCATACACATAGTACATGATGAGACGCGTGGGAAAATACTTCTAATTTCGTTGTCAAGGCAACACAATCGTTCCCAGGCCCCTTACACTGATTTTGAATAACTAGTTGCATTTATCTATATGTATGTCATTTTCGAATTATTATCATGCAAGTAAACTTTTGGCATGCATAGGTATCATACACATACTTCTGATATTATTTTATTTTTATCAGTACCTTGAATAAAGCTGTTTCATAAAATTGGCGCAAGGAACCTGGGAACGACATTGTTACCTTGGCAACAAAATTAGAAGTGTTTTTCCATGCGTCTCATCATATACAATCAGTATGCAAAATTTGATTTGATTTGGGCCCATAATAACTGAGCTGTGCTTCAGTGTAGTATTCAATAAACATACTTACCCAGCTAATGACGTCACACGTTGTGCTGAATCAGCAATTTATATTTTGCACATTTTTGCGTATAACTTCGGAACTAGATGAGATAGAATAGAGCATTAAACGGCCAATCGGCTTATTTTTTCATGCACTTTCAGACGAAGCAATAAGATAGATGAAGCAATTTTTGTTGCTCATACCCTTTAATTAAAGTTTATATCCAATAGGGCCACATGCAGTTCCGCTCTTACAACATCGTCATCCAGGGTAAGCCATGTCTCAGTAATATAGCAATTATATCGACTTTAGTGTCACAAATATAGTCCATAATATTCGCTGACTTATTTCTAATAGAGTGAGCATTAAAAGCGAGGTTGACATAAAAAAATTAAACAATCAAAGGATTATAAAGTATGCAAATTTTCGTAGGATAGCAAGCGCATGCACTGAAGCAATATTGGTATTCTCCTCATGAGGAATCGTTCGATAAAAAGAATGATATACTTATCTCCATCTGGAACCAGACATACTTCAAGTGAAATCAGCACAAAGTCCAAACACACAAACTGGCAAACCACAAGCGGTTGTGGGATACACAAACCAGAAATCGAAGCTTGCAATAAAAGCTGATATTTTTCGTCTTTACGCGAAACAACACATTCACAAACCACTGTCTCTTTTCAATTCGTCGCAACACGACAGTTGCAAACCCTAGAGAAACAGGTTTTACCGCAACATTATTCACAAAATCAGATGCATTAATGTTCAGAGCAATAACCTCAACATTTCCACATGTTAGATGTAAAAATAGCATAGATAGCAGCATCAGATAGCGGAGCTCCATTTCACACAACCGCTTAATGTCAGTGATTATGGCATGCACCGTTTACCCTGTAATGTTTTACCACGTAAACGTTACCTGCTCAACTAAAACAGTTTCAACTACGTACTAATCGTGGACATTTTGATGTACAGTATATTCAACTTCATGGCATGTACAAGAAACACCAGATTAAATTAATATTAACATATGCAGAGAGTAGTACATATACTTACCTTAAGAATCTTATCCAATAGACTGCAGCAGGTCATAGTAAAATGTGAGATGTTAACCTGATTTACTGCTGGAGTTAATCCCTTTCGCTATATTATTTTGTTTATCTCTCTTCATAGCTATATGCAAATAGCTATACACCCTCCAATCAGAGTGGCGCACATATCCGGACTTGCGTGACAGATAAAGAAACCTGAGGAACTCCACATACTTTCCCAGAACAGTTTTTCTGGGAATAGTTGCCACTGCATAGGTGCATTGCCTTTAAACGTTTCCATTACTTTCAAGAACAGAATTTCTTAAATACTGGCTTCCCAACACTTGAGCATCAAGTGCAATACCGGTACCTGTAATATTCCGAAATACGAAGCATATTTTCTTTGAGCAATTTTCTTTGATAATTTACATGAAATTTTATTGATTCCTAGAAGCTATTTTCTCTGAACTCCTTTGCGGTTTTACTTTTATTTCCCGGAATAGCCAACAATTCTCACAGTTGATATGTTTGATATATTTTGAGCTATTGTGCTAAAAGACAAACACGCACAGACAACCTCTCCTGGCGCCGGAAGTAACTGTTTCCACGTCGTTTTTATTCAGGTTAACTGCTGAGCTAAAGAAATGTAAAGAAGAGAGTTTAAGTTTGGAAGGAATTAACGACGCCATGGATCAAGAACTGAATGAATTACGACAGCAATATTATCAAAAGCAACTACGAAAACAGAGAGAACAAAGACAACAACAAAGACAACAACAGCTGGAGCAACACAAACAACAACAGCAACAACAACAGCAGCAGCAACACAAACTACAACAGCAGCAACACAAACAACAGCAACAACACAAACAACAACAGCAACAACACAAACAACAACAACAACCACACAAACAACAACAGCAGCAACACAAACAACTGCAACAAACAAGGAACGAGCCACAAACACAACAAAAGCAATTGCAACCCAGGCATCAACCAGCGACGACCTCGCGGTCCAAGGACAACCCAAGGCAAAGAAGTGCGTATTTCGCACAACAAATGCAAGGTAAAGGTATCCATAGGCCTTTGTTTGAAAGAAAAAATAGTGATATGTAAGATAGATGGAATGCGTAGATTATAGATTTTGGGTGTTGAACATTATATGAAACAGCGCATTCATTTTGAAAAAATCTTTACTTGTAAATCAATTATACAAATTTTACATGCATTATTTTGCTTTAAATTACAAAATGTTATACTATCAATCTGTATCAGTCTCGTCACCAAACGTTTCAGCCTCAATTTCATAACTCTGCTCTATTACACCAAACTGTCTATTTCTTGCTGCCGCCGCGGCTGCTACCATGGACGCAAATGGATTGGCATGACTCATATGTCCGATATGATCATTGACACTACATTCATTCAATGCATTATAAACGACATCACTGTTTTCATTTGTTACACAATCTGCATTATCAGATCCAGGGATCGATTGCTCTGGGTCCTTGGGAGGATTTGTCACGACTGGTATCATATTGGCAGCCTGCTCTTTAACAGTGGAAGCATCATCACATGATTTCAATGTTCTTGTTTTATCCACACAACTCTTCATATTTGTCTCAGACTGAGATGACTCTGTAACAGAACTAGATACGTTATTGGAAGCACCAACGTCGCTGCTCTCAACTCCTCTCTGGACTGTGTTTCCAACATTGCCATCAATCTTTATTGCACCAAATTTCTTTAATAACATCTTCGGAATGGCGACCATTTTTTCTTCATCTTTCGTTGCTAAAACACATTTCAATTCCTTAAGAAGATGTCGACTTTCCTCTCTCATTTTTTCTTCTCTAAGTAGTTCTTCTCTTCCTAAATTTGACGAATAATGTGTTCCATTATCGTATTCAGACGTTGTTTCTCCTTCAAATATCTGATCGGGAACAGGCTCCGTTTCTTCTGCAAATTTTAGTATTTGGACATCTTTATCTTCTTGTTCAATTGAGCTTCCATTTGGTTCTTCTTCCACAATATTTCCTGGCATCTGTTCTTCACTCGAGCTAAATGCAATTTCTTGAAGTTTACTTTGACTTTCCTCGTAACACACGTTAAGCTTCTCTATTTCTTGACCAATAAGTGATATCTGCTTGTTGATTTCATCTAAATCTGCGCACGCAGGGAACTCAGATTCTGTAATCAGCTTATCTAACTTTTCTTCAATATCAACAGACGTTTTACAAGCCTGTTGCAAATGAAGGGTCATGCTACGTAGAGCCAACGTGAAAGGCAAGTACAAAGTGTTATCAGACGGCACATGTCTTTGCTTTTCATCAAAGATATGAGCTGGTATATCAACTTTATGAAATTTATAGCATTCACGGAGATTGTCAAAGCATTTTTTACCTTCAGCTAATAAATCCCCTAAGCAACTATAAAACTGACACGAGTCATCTTGTTTTCGCTCAGACTGCTGTAAATTGATTATTACTGACATCAAATTTACTGCTGTACAGCATAGCAACGATGATTGCTTGCAGCCTAGTGTAGCAAAGGCTTTCTTTAGTGTCATCAATGAATAGTCATTTGCTTGTGAATTGTTCTCACTGTCAGTTGAACACTCGTTCCCAATTCTACTAAGCTCTTTCGCAAGCCAATTTAAATCCCCACAATCAGTATTAAGAAACCTTGAATTTGAAACATCTTTAATTTGGTTATGAAGTAGGCCAAGATAATTGTTCATTTCAAGGAACAAGCATTTCCTTAGCATCATACATTGTTTAATTTGGGACTCTAACCTCGTGACAGGAGCTGCTGGATTGACTATTATGTGACCGCGAGTAATAAGCTCCTTTTCTTGAATAAACAAGATTATCTTTCGTATTAAGACAAGAAGTTTTTCTGTAAACTTGATATAATCAAGAAGTAAGGCCATGTTTTTCTTAAGGATATAGATTTTGTTCTTTGCCTGTAAAAAGTACAACTGTTGAAGTAGACACACAAATAGAATCGATAGAAAAATGTATGAAATAATTTTCAGGTTAGCAGAGTTGGTATTCAAAAGTAAGCCCAGAATTATAGCAGTTAGCAATATAATTCCAATCATGAGCCTGCTTGTAAAAACGGAGTTATTAGTTTTGGTAAATTTATTGTTTTCTTCATTAATCTTGCATTCTGCAGAGACAATATTGGCAGTGTCAAATTCGGTATTTGTACAGTGTTCATATCTGTACAAGAGTTCCAAATCATCGTCTGCTAACAAACCGGAGGACTTTATCATAGCTACACAAGAACTGTAGCATGATATCTCTTCTGACACAGTGGAAGGCAGAAAATAACCTAAGATGAATCCCTTGGCCGAATTTATGGCCCAATCCTTCAAATTTCTGTTGCCGAGATTTTCGCTATTATTTTGTCTTAGGTGCTCGTTGACGATCAAGCCTGGACGTTCTTCATAGTTATTTAACGTTTCTACATGAAAATCTGTAAATCCAACTTCAGATAAATGTCTATACAGCGGAGAATTGTCAAAAATTACGTCTTCCTCGTCCGCCATATTGGAAGCTACCCGCTTTTAGGGTGGGACGTTGCGGGTTTTGCAAGAATTTTAAAGTTTTAGGAAATCTGAAAAAAGGAATTCTGTTGATTTTTTGAAAGAAGCAAAAAACACAAAACCAGTGGCGGCGCCAGGGGGGGGCAAGGGGGGGCAAATGCCCCCCCAAATTATTTTTTGCCCCCCCATTTTGCCCCCCCTCAAAAAAAATTATTAGTCACTAAGAGCGACTAAAGGCTACACAAGCGTTCTGTCGTTATCGGAAAATGTATGGCTTATAAGTTGTCATTACTCATTAGTGAATGCGCATATACATGAAACTGTTTTTTACAGTTTCAATATTAGTTTGTAAATCTCTGAATGGTAAAACTTGCCAATACTCCAATAATACGTTTCAAAAAAAGACAAAAAAGCTTTAGTTTTGCAGAGTTAAATTCTCAAACGTGTAAGGCAATAATAAGATGAAAGTATCACGAAATTATTTGAATAAACCACATCGCATATATGGGGGGCGAATGTCCTAAAGAGGGGCGATATTCCTAGGGTATTCGCCCCACCCCCCTGGGAGGCGATATTCCTAGGATATTCGCCCCCCGGGGGCGATATTCCTAGGAATATCGCCACGTTTTGAGGGGGGCGAATTTCCTGGGGGGGGACCTTTTTAAAAATTCTATCTTGCCCCCCCAAAATTTGAGTTTGCCCCTCAAATGCCCCCCCAAATTTGGAAGCCTGGCGCCGCCACTGCACAAAACACTGTGCAGCAAGCTTACAGTCGCCCAAGAAATTTACTAGTAATAATAACGCTTATCTGTGCTCCAGTGCTGTGCTCATTGCTGCCGAAGGCAGCACACTATTCTTAACATGAAGTATCGCGTTTACTTGTGCCCAGTCTCTTTACCCGAGTTATGTATTGTCGAGATCTCGATTTTGTGTCTGTCTGTCGGATGTTTGTCGTAATTCCGGGGAAATAATTAAGGCTTCAGGAATTTTTTTTAAACGAGGGGGGCGGTCAAACTTTTATATTTTGTATTGAACACGATCAAGCATCAAGTTCTAGCTTTATATCAATATCAGCAGAATATCAGGCAGTATTAAAGCTAGCTTATTTACATGTTCATGATGCAAAACATCGCCGATATTTTCAGTAATTCAGGTAAGGATAGCTTTATTTCTTTCTGGTAGCGAAATTATATTTAATTTAGTACGTATAAACACTATATGATTTACATTTTCATCATGCAAAACCAGCTGTATAGACATGCACTTCGATAAATATACATGAAGCCGAAGGCGTTTATATTTAGAACACTATAATTTAATGAACTATCAGCATGAATTTATCATGATAAACTATAAATAGTTTATTTGTTTGTGTGGTGATGTCCCAAGGCGATGAGTTTAGTGAATAGTGTTTATTCTACATGTTTATAGCAATGTGCGTTTATATTTAGAACACTATAATTTCATGCAGAACTATCAGCATGAATTTATCATGATAAACTACAGTATAAATAGTTTATTTGTTTGTGTGGTGATGTCCCAAGGCGTTGAGTTTAGTGTTTATTCTACATGTTTATAGCAATGTGCTTTCATCACGTTTTAAAAACAAGTTTACGTGGAATGATATAGCAATCCAGTTTGGATTGTTGCCTGCAAGGGCGTGTTTTCATTATTTATAGTAGGGGTGAATCTAGTAGAGCTTCGGGTGTAGGGTTAACGACTTTTTCACACAAAATAGGAGGGGTGAAGCGAAATTTTGGTGGGGTTGAAGTGTTGAACATTTTATAAGACCTCGGGGTTAGAGAGATTACAGGGGGAAGTTAACCATACCTAACCCCCCAGTAAATCTACCTGTGGTTATCTGGAAATATTAACTTACCAGCAGTTAATACATGTAATAGCATGTCAACCGACTTTTGTACAAGGTATGACAGTCTGTAAAAATATATCTCTGAGATAGGACTGGCCTACATAATACAGTCCGGCATATATTCACCTGGCTGTGTTATTACATTTCAGGGTACACTATATTTTTTTCAATAATGCTCACAATATCTTTCTTATTATATAGTTTTGAAGTTCTGACTGAGTACAATCTTAATCTTTACAAATGAATGGTGTCATATGAAGCTGATGGATTAATTAAATTAAACAAAAATGTCAGTTGTTCTGCGATAGGGGTAGTTTTGTATAGTATTTCTATACATGAAATTGTTATTAAATTCTACATGTCCAATGATTCATTCAAGTATTATTATCATTTATGTATATAAATATATGATATTGTACAGTATTCAGTGGTGAGCTAACCTGCGATCAGGCCTATAAATAAATAAATAGGCCTGATACAAACCTTAACATGCCTTACAGCCATATTCGGTTGTAAATCTGATTGGTCTATGAGACAAAAGATTTTTTAATCTGTCATTTGATTGGTTGGTGCTAATTAGATATTTATACTATTGTTGATGATATATTTTATAGTGAGCACAACTATAATTAGATTGTTGTCGTTGTGTGAAATTTAAATTTCTCTTGCGACATTTTGATTGGATACTAAATATAAACTTTGCTGTGGGTGGAAAGCTATCACATTAATGTTTGTGTCAGGCTATATTTGTAAAATAGAGCCTGATCTCTGGTTAGTG